CAGCGGCGCCGAGGCCTCGCCCGCCTGCCAAGCTTTCTCCCCCCCTCGTCCCACAGTGGCAACGAGGCCGGAGCTCGGCCCGCCAAACTTTCTCCCTCCCCGGGCGGCTGTGGCAGCAGCGGTGAGGGATGTGCAGCTTTCAGTCACCAGCCGGCCAAGCCTTCTCCCCCCACCCCTTCTTCTAAGGCGGCGGCAAAGCCATTCTAAGAGCGTTCCCTGCGCATGCACAGGGGGTGCTCTGTTATTTTTTTTGGGATATAAATATCCCCCATATATTTTTTTACAGTTTTCAGATTTTTCTTCACACCTGGGCATTGCCCCACATGTGCAGGAAAATCTCCCTGCCCCCCAGGTGCCCCCGATGTGCAGATTTAGATATCTGCATGCAGGGGGCGCCTTCGCTATTAGATATATAGATATCTGTAGATGAGTACATTTAGTGTATAAGATTCTGAAGGTAAGAATCTACTGTATTAAACTGTATAGCCTTGAACTCATTAGATCCTGGAAGCTAAGCAGGGTTAGTACTTGGAAGGGAGACCACCAAGGAAGACTCTGCAGAGGAAGGCAACAGCAAACCACCTCTGCTTGATCACTTGCCTTGAAAACTCTATGGGGTTGCCATTAAATCAGGTGCAACTTGATGGCACTTTACACACCCACCCACCCTGTTTCACTTAGAGAACCACCCTGCCTGATATATCCTTCCCTCCGCTTCCAGAGATAGCCATTTTACACAATTATTCCAAGGTGCACTGGGTTTCTGAAATGCCTAGTCTGATTTAGCACCAAACATTCCAGCACTCCTTTTTAGCTGGAAGGCTTATTGCATTTGCATACAATCTGTATTTGTTTCTTCTTCAAGAGCTGCTGACATCCCCATATAACCCTTCACTTCTCTTAAACAGCTATAATTTCTTGGCACGGTCAAGTTGTAACCTGTCTCCAGCTAGATTAATCAGACTAGTTGACCTAAACACTTCAGGGATGAATCATCCCAAACCAGAAGCTCTTCAGCTCATGTCTGCTTTTTGCGTGTGTCGCTTCAAATTCTATTTTGCAACCTGAATTGGCAGCAGTGGTTCTATTTCAGTTCAAGTGGAGCCTACCTTTTTTTGAACAGGGCTGGCTTGCCTTAAAACTTCCCCCAATGCCTAATAAATTTAAACTGTTCTTCCCAGCATCAGTTCCTCATACATACCCTAAGACTCCTAATCTTTGCCTGTCTAGCTGACTTTATATGTGGAACAGGCAGCATATACTACAGACTACCTATCTAAACATAATGTAATGTCTGGTACCTTTCCCCAGGCACCAAGTCACCCATCACATCAATCACCTCTGTGCTTTCACTAACAAGAGCCTCCTTTTACCCACAAAAGTATCCTTGGAGCAAGAGGACTGGTTTCCCTTCTGATGAACAGGTCCCTTCAGAAAGATCATTTCCCACCTTCTCATCTTGACACCCTCCTACTTCATCTTTTCTTTCTTTATGATTAACTCTATACCAGAATAAGTTAGATTTTATCCCTTGTGACCTCTGTTCTGTATTGAATAATATACCTTAATGTATTTAACGTAACTGGAATTTTAGACATGATCTTTATTATGCATGATAACATTTCAAGATGTAGTTAGTAAGTCGGAAAGTAGCGTTATTTCATTTGTATTTTAATGAGTTGGATTTCCCTCTTCCTATAAAATGATCTCATTTGGCAGCAATAGCAATGGCAGCAATCATTAAATTTTGTTCTCTTTTATTTTCTTCCGACCTTTGAAGTGATCAAAGTAATTGAAGAATCCCAAATATTCAGCAAGAAGGAACATTACTTTTGTTGGTAGAAATCTGAGAAGGGAAATAATGCAATATATTTCTGATTAGCGTCAGCATTATTCTTTACATTTAATTTCTTATTATTTTATTACCGATTAGGAAACAAACCAGAAACAAATCGAGTGAGTAAGGGATAGTTTACACGTTTGGACATGATATCTGCAATGTGGAAAAGCTCTACCATCCACATAACGTAATGAGTAACACTGGCATTTCATGCAGAGGACTGTATACAAAGGTTCAATTTGCAAATTTCTTTCTTCATAAAATACTAGGAAGGAAATGAGAATAGGGCATGTGCACATATAATTCAGTCCCTGTATTATAATTATTGTGGTGTCATTTCTGTTTTCCATCACACAAAGAGGATGACATGTCCCCACCCCACAGCAATGATCTATCTAATCCCTTTTTAAGGCTGTTTATTCCTGTAGCCATCACTACAATCTCTGGCAGCAAATTACACATTTTAATCACTCTCTGTGTAAAGGTAGCATTTCCTTTTGTCTGTCCTGAACCTACTGCCCAGGAAAAGAGAACTACGGATATGAGTCTGAACGGGAGAAACAATAACCGTAGAAAAATAACTAATTAATTCTAAACAAATCTTGAGAGGCTTTCAAAGGCAGTCTCCAGCCTTGCGGGGGTGGGGGGGCTAGCTGGAGAACTCATTTTGTAGAACTTCCTCAAAGACGGATCTGCTTGTTAGTAGTCAAATAAAAAAACCCTTCAATCTCTTATCCCTTTACTTGCTGGTATTTGCCTTACAATCTATTCAGAATCAAAAACATCTTTACTCCCTCATGCCTGGCAAAAAGCCTTACAGTCTTATCTTCCTAGGAATTAGGAATTCATGCACTATTAAAGTGTACAGCATTATAATACTTGAATAGGACACTTCTCAGCATTATTGCGCTGTTTATTAGTATTTACTTTCTATATGTTTGTAAGGATATAGTGATTTAAGGGGATTTGTTAATCAGTAGACTTGCACTGTATAAATTGTTTGGTTGAATGGACACAGAGGTATAATTTCTACTATTTTATATTTCTTTACTTAGTAAACTGGTATATTAAAAAGTGTTAATTAGTTATTTTTTCTACAGTTATAGTTTCTCCTGTCTGAACCTACTGCACATCAGCTTCATAGGATCTGAAATGATCAATTTTTGACATTTTTTTTCCTTTTCATTTTGCTGCCTGAACAAATAGCCTATGATCTCATTAGATATAATGAAAAAATGTTACTTCCAAGGTTTAATTTAACTGCTGCTGCTGCTTTGGAATGTTGTTGTTGTTCAGTCGCACAGTCGAGTCCGACTCTTCGCGACCCCATGAGTCGAAGAGTTGGAATGTTAGAGAATCTTATTTAACTGTGAAAAAACCTGTGAATTAAAATATCTGCTGCATGAATTTAACATAATCCTTAGTGATATATGTCTGTCCCTGTTTCTGTCTTAGATGTCTACCAGTTGGAAGTATTTGGTAGATGTTAGTAGGTAAGGTGAGGTGAGTCTGCCCTCAAAACATTTAAGCTAGGGTGAAACAGTGTGTGTGTGTGTGTGTGGGTGCATGTGTGCTGGGGGAAACCAAAGTTTAAGAAAAGGGATGGGAAAGGCATGGAAAGAAGCTGAGGGCAAAATGTTTCAGAAAATTCTGTTAAAAGAAATTGTACTTGGTAAGAAAGTAAGTTCCAACTGAATCATGCCCAGATTGCAGAGCACTGAGGAAAATCAGGTAAGAAAAGCATTGTTATCATGTAAAAAGATGATTTTGGCGGAGCAACATAAATGTATCAACCACTGATAAAACTACATTGACTTTAAAAAAAGTAGCTACACCTGGAGGAAGTTTTCCCTTACAGTACCCACCATACTGAGGGTGTATCAACCACTGATAAAACTACATTGACAAAAAAAGTAGCTACACCTGGAGGAAGTGTTCCCTTACAGTACCCACCATACTGAGGTTTTTTTTCTGAGAACAAAGCTGAAATAAATAAATTACATAATATTAAAAGCCCTATAAAGAAGGAAATCCCAGATAGTAATTTCTACCTACTTCCTTAATAACCTCTAATTGGGTTTTATTGTTTATAGGGAAGTACACAGTGGTATGTAATCAGAGAAATTAAATCAGATGTCCTGTTTAAATATATTTGGGTACAGGTTATACTGGAAATCATTCCAAAAAGTAAGACAATCGTTTCCCTGTCTATTTGGATATTCTTGGACTGTCAATGATTCTGTGCACAAGATAAGAATACCTATGAAATGTGATGATGGCTATTATTATCTATATATCTCTTATATTTCCAGACTGAACCTCCAGAAAACTAATCAGAAATACCAATAGAAAGCAAGCCCTGAAGATTCAGTTATCTATTTCAAAGTTTTAATGCAATACACTTTAAAATACTGCAATTAGATTTTTTACCTTTTTGAAATCTTTCACCCTACCCCGATCTTATTTAGCTTCTGAGTTATGCTAAATGACCACAGAAGAAGTGGGAGATGAGTTGTATTCTCACATTTTTAGAGGAATGAAGGACACCCATGATGGAATAAAGAGATAAAACTTCTCCTTCAGAACAGCATCCACAATACTCCTGCCCACATCCAAGATTGGAAACAGACAGGGCCTCCTGAAAAAAAATATTATTTGACAAGATTGATTTCTTCCTGTCTTTTTTGCATGAATTGAGTAAAATGCATGACTAGTTACGTGTACTCAGATGAACTTTTGCTTGTGTTTCATGAGCAGCTGACATACCTTGTAACCTCATGTGAGTTTTAAAAGCATTTCCTGCTGGGACACACCTAAAAAGACTCTATGTGTTGGATTTCTGCTGATGGAAGGGAGTTCAATCAGTGGAACCAGAATTTCTGGCTTCCTTATTCCTCCTGGAGCCTCATATGATTGCACAAAAAGCCATTCCTGGAAGACAGGTAATCCCTAGGAAGCAGCTGGAATTTGAAGATCCACAGCAAAAGGGGGGAAATGGTGAAAACTTCTCCCCCCCTTTAGTGAAAATTTTCCATTGGATCCCAGCCTATAGGCACATAGGCGGCTCAACAGGTTTGTTGGATTTTTGAAGTTCTGTGGATGACTTTTTATTCGAAATCCAATACTCACGTTGTTTGTACTCCAGTAATCATTTCTGTGTCAACATAATAAGGAAAGACAATGGTCGTTTTGATGCCTTTCTTTCCTGCAGCCTGTAATTCAAAAGCAATAGCCTCCAAAAAGCCAGTTTCTGCCCACTTACTTGCACAGCAGTCTGGAAAGTGGAAAAAGAAGTAAGATTAAAACACATGCCAACGCAGGTATGAACAATATTATATGCTTAATTTAATTTTTAGACTAAAGTACTTATTCTTAGAAGTTAGTTGATAAGTAGTTATTTTATAGCTATGGGGAGACATCTTAAACACGCGTTCTAAACACTATTATCTGTGCTAGCGAATATGTATTAATCATTGAATGCACTGATAGTTATAGCAGTGCCACATCATAAGATATACTGCAAACAATACATTAAGTCATGGAATTCACCACCATAAAATATAGTCATGGCCACAAGCTTTGTATTAGTCCTTCCCATTCTATTGTTTTCCTCTTTTACTTTGCATTGTTCATTCAGGAAGGCTTCCTTATCTCTCCTTGCTGTTCTCTGGAAATCTGCATTCAGTTGGGTAAATTTTTCCTTTTCACCTTTGCCTTTCGCTTTCCTTCTTTCCTCTGCTATTTGTAAAGCCTCACCAGGCAGTCACTTTGCTTTCTTGCATTTCTTTTTCTTTGGGATGGTGGTGATTGCTGCCTCCTGTACAATGTCACGAACCTCCATCCATAGTTCTTCAGGCACTCTGTCTATCAAATCTAGTCCCTCAAACCTGTTCTTCACCTCCACTGTATATTCACCATTACTACCCAATAACTTTTGCAAAGGAGTCACTGTGTGATGTCACACAAGCGGTGACTTGCACATGTCCAAGTACTTCACAACCTGAACACATATGACTATCATAGGGCAACCTTCACTTCTGCAAACCTTGTGCCACAACTGTAGTGATAGCCTGCATGAGTAGTTTTAAAACTTGTATAGCCAGTTTGGTGCCTGGATGCTCCTACTACTAAATGGAAAGCTATTGTTCTTTCACATTAAAAGCCAAACAAAATGCTGGTTTAGGGCACAAACTGAAAGAGAACATTTACCTTCCTTCCTTTCCAAACTTGATACAAGGAGAAGGGAGGCCATGTATTCTTAACTGCCTGTTTTAATGCAAAGTCCTTTAAGAGTCCCAACTCTCATGGATGCTGTTTGCTGAATAAGCAAGACCCAAATTTTACCTGAGGCGACAGCTTTTTTGTTTAACTACACAAAATAAATTTTAAAATTTGCAGCCTAAACTCAAGCAGAGGGGTAGCATCCCTGATGGATTAAAGTATCCTGGTCCTGCTCCTTCATCTGACAGAGAACCATCTGTCTGGTGTTGGAGGGGAGATTATGTTTAAAGGCATCAGGGAGGCTGGGCCAAACCTCCCCGGTGGCTCACCTCCTCTTCTACACCTGACAGGCAGCTGCCTGTCCAGTGTAGGAGGGGGAGGGGGAGGAGTATTAGAAGCCACTGTGGAGGTGGGGCTGGCAGGATCACTGAGGCATTACTGCTGGGGCGGGCTACCTTGTGGCTTTAAGCACCCTGCAACCACTGCTGCACCTGACAGACAACCACCTGTTAGGTGTGGGAGGTGGGGGGGGGAGTGTTTTGGAAGCCATCAGGGAGCCTGGGCCAGCAGCATTACTGCACCTCACAGGTGGTTGTTGGACGTTTGATTTCCTCAACTGTCATTAGCTCTGTGCAATCTCCTGTAACTGTTGTTTTTTTATTACCTCAGAACACTGAGCTCTGCAGCTGACCAGTCAGAGAGTGGGGGGTGCAAGGAGGCAACAGCCTGGCAGCCATATAGGAATTAATGGGGAGAACACATTTTATACCTTTTGACCCACTTAGGGGTTGAATTTCTAAAAATCCCTTCTTAGTGAGCATCTACATCATGGTAGGAGCGCTCTCCCCGAATTTTGGGTTTTTAGGTCCAGTGGTTTGGTCTGGGCGTTGATTTTACAGTGAGGGGACTTAGATAGATAGATGGATCAGCATGTTCAGATTGGCCACATCTAAGAATGGAGAGAGAGTTAGCAAACCAGAAGCAGCTGATAGAAAGTGCTCTTGGCCACTATGCCAACCTGCTTTTTAAAAAGTGCCGGTAAGTAAATAAATGGACAGTTCAGAGGTAGAAAGTGTACATGCACACACAAATAACTCCACAGTATACTGACATGAAAGTGCATTGGCCCCAGTTAGTGCTCCTGTACTTGAAATAGTAACCAAATGACCACAGTTACAGGAAATCATGGCTGGTAGGAAAGCTTTGCAAGTCTGTGGTAAATTGATAAATAATAATTATTAAACAAGTTTTTAATCATGTCCATTTTGCTTGAGAGCTACAACTGCATGGGCAGATTACCCTACCACTGCAGGCTGACATTACTGTTTGGATTATGACACTAAGTTATGTTTGGAATGTCCAGTTTTAAAACATTTACTGTTTTCAGACATGTGCCACTCCAGAGAAAAACTGAAATTTATGAAATACAAAGCCTACTTCTACTTCTGGAGATAAAAAACTTAACATTGCAGAAACATCAGAAAAGTTTCATGGAGAACAATGAATATGCTTCCAAGTGCAGCTGGGATCAATGGGAAAGTCCTGTCTATAGTTGCCAACCTCCAGGTGGGGTCTAGAGATTTCCCAGAATTACAACTGATCTCCAGATTACATAAATCATTTATTATTTATTAAAAATTATTCCACTTTTCCTGGAGAAATTAGCTGCTTTGGAAGGTGGGCTGCATGGCATTATACCCTACCAAGGTCCTTTGCCTCCCTGAACCTCACTCTCTCAGGCGCCATCCTCAAATCTCTAGGAATTTCTGAACCTGGAGTTGGCAACTCTAGTCCTTAGATGCTCAGGAGAAAAGTAGGCACACACACATTTAAACAAGTATTTAAGCATGCATAAAACTATAAGGATTCAGGAAGTAGAGAAATGGTGACAAAGCATAAGTGGCAAAAAGGGAACTATTATAATTAATTAGCATAAAGTAATACTGAGATAGCAGACTATACGGATTTGTATTTGCTACCGCTAACCAATGTTCCCTCTAAGCTGTGGAGTCTTGTGAGCAAAAATTCTACTTTGTGAGCTACTGGCATTAAAGTTGTGAGCAGGTGATTTGGCAGCTGCATGACTTAGTTTGCTCTGGAGCCCCGTCTTTCCTGAGCCAAGACAAAAATGTGTGAGCTAGAGTCTAAAAAACTATGAGCTAGCTCACACCAACTCAGCTTAGAGGGAACACTGCCGCTAACTACTTCTGATTTTCTCAAATGTAGCCAAATTCCAATTATGCAAGTTTTTAGAAAAAATACAAAGTAATTTCATGGTTATCCAGAAAAAGAAAATGATTACCAAGAATTGTGCCTTAATGTTCAAGTCTAGTGTGTCTTCCATTTCAGAATCTGTAAGAACAATGAAATTCTTCCAATTCAAGATAACAGCATTGTTGATTAGAATATTAACATCTCCTACTTCTTTTTTAACCTACAACAAAAAGGGAAAATTGAGATATTATGTTCTAAGCCCATTGCCTAATTGAACTGTATTCGAACAAAGTTCGAGTCCAGTGGCATCTTTAAGACCAACAAAATATTTGTAGTTTGGTAGCACCTGTGATAGGTTTTTGTTTTGAACACAGACCTCTTCTTGTGTCTGTTTCTTAACTCTTTCTAAGAATTGATTTGACTCTTAATGCCTGTCTATTTATGTACCATCCTTTATTTATTCATGTATAATGTCTATTCATGAATCACTCTATCCCCTATTACTCAGAGTTCTGAGCAATGGACAACAATAATAAATTACATCAAGATAAAAGCAGTTCCAACAGTTAAAAAAGACTAACTGTGCAATACAATAGGACTGTGCTGTCATTTATGTCAAAGTGTCATTTATGAAATATGGTTGTTTATTTTTTTTCCATCTGATTGCAAGGGAAATGTTAGTATGAACCAGATTATACACTGAAATAGCTAATAAATAAAACTTCAAATAAAACTTATGTGCTGATTTCACTACAACGTGTCTCGAACCCAGTACTTTATAGCCACGCAGAGAGAAGGACGCCCTCCGAGCTACACTCGCCAAACTGAGGGAGGGAAGAGGCCCTTGGATGGCAGGCAGCCCCCTTCGTGTTTGGGGACACAGAGTCCCTTTGTCCAGCGTTTGGGGGGGGGATGTATTACTTTTGACAAAAGTGGCTGTTGCTTTACTTGAGAAGCAGAGAAACTGTTTAATCACTCACCTTCTCTATAAGTTGATGGGGAAGAAATCCGTTTCATGACAAGATGGTTGAAGAACAAATAGTTGCCTAACCAAAGGATGCTGTCTTATATGAATGACAGCCCCTGGATACAGTAGGAGTGGTCTGGGGGCCTGTCCACTCTGGGACCTGTCATTCCAGTTTCAGAACACTCCTACTAACCCCAGGGGCTGTCATTCCACTCTGGGGCCTGTCATCCCAGTCCCAGAAGACTTCTGTTACTCCTAGGGCCTGTCATTCCAGAATCAGAGTAGTCTGTTTGGGCCCAGAGACCCTAATGGAAAATCTATTCCACATTTTTATTGCAACTCTACTTGTACTTTAATGTATTTCAATGGAGCCCATGCAAGTCAATTCGCATTCCTGGCTCCCATTATTTCCAATGGGCCTTCAAGTGTTTCACATTGTTTTCAATTGTCCTTCCTTTTAGTACATCCCATCTTCACCACATTAAACAGCAATCAGTTGAGCAACTCTCTCAGACCTAAAGGTGTTTGGTTAATGCGCTGTTTTCTTTTGGTGGCATCTGATAATCCAGGAGTCAGGCTCTTAAATTTACCCTGAATCATAGGTAGGATTGACAAAATGCAGGAATGACAACTGATCTCCAGACTACTGTTGAAAATGGCAGCTTCAGAGGGTGTACTTCTATGGTATGCCATAGATCCCAGGTTAAATCCCTGCCTAAATTCTTCCATCTACAGTGATGATCAAGATATGCAAAGTGACACTAAATAACAAGTTAAGGTTATAAGGTCAACAGCTGTAAAGCAATAAATATGTTAAACTTGCAGAGAAATGTCTAAAGGTGTCTTTTCTAATTTAGTTATTATTTAGAAGTATGAGCATGGCATGGCAGTACCCGCACAGATATATAATGGCAGGCCCCCTGAGAAAAACATTGGCCCCCCAGAGCAAAAAGTTGTTAGCTACCGGGCTGCTTCCACCAGGCTTTTGATTAGGAGCCACCAGTGATGAATGAGCACTAAGAACACCATGGATGCTGGCCTGGTTACACTGGATTACTGTATAGCAACTGCCATCTATACTGATCTGCACTTTATTTGTATATTGTTTTATGTGGTATTTTATTGTATTGCTGTTATGCACTGTGTTTTATTGTATTTTAATTTGTTGTACACTGCCTTGAGCCTGCTTGTGCAGGCAAGGTGGGATATAAATTGAAATAATACATAAATAAATCACAGAACAGTAATATAAAAGTAAGGAGTAATATCAATAAGCAGTACATAAAGTTCCAACTGATTACAGGTATAACAGCCAGTTATATACAGGTATAATAGCCAGTTTGGTATAGTGGTTAGGAATGCAGACTCTGATCTGGGAGAACTGGGTTTGATTCCCCACTCCTCCACATGCAGCTGCTGCTGTGACCTTGAGTCAGTTACAAGTTATTTCAGGGCTGTTCTCTCATGAGCAGTTCTCGAAAGAGCTCTCTCAGCCCCACCTACATCACAGGGTGTCTGTTGTGGGGAGGGGAAGGAAAGGAGATTGTAAGCCACTCTAAGACTCCTTCTGGTAGTGAAGGGTGGGGTATAAATCCAATCCAATCTCCTCCTCCTCCTCTTCTTTTTCTTATTGTTATTTCCTTTATATTAATTGGATACCTCATTTTGATTGCCCATTTATACTTAAGATCGGAAAATGTGGAGAGAGCTGGCCCATAGAATCGCCAAGAGTCAGACATGACTGAATGGCTAACAAAAACAACAACTTATTTATGGGCCTGCTATGAAGACTCAAGAGTGTTCATATATACATATTAACATTATTTGAATTAGTGATAGGAAAATAACTTACTTAGGCCTAAATAGTTAAGCCTATCCCTAAATCATTTTTTTTTAGTTAAGAAAGGGTTGAATGGATTATCTTCACTCTTTATTCTCACCCTCTTCTCTATGGTTCCATCCTTGTGTGAAATTTTAGGTGTAAATTCAAGAGACATCTTGTACTCTGTGACATGCCATGCACATTACTAATTCCATATAACTAACTAACTAACTAACTAACTCACTCACTCCTAGGCTAGTTATTTGGGGGAATTTCAGCATTTCTGCTTAGGCTACCTTGAAAGTAGTAGCTCAGGATTTCACAGTCTCCATGACAACCATGGGCCTGTCTCAAATAATAACAGGCCCACACACTGTGCAGGCCACACTCTTGATCTGGGGTTTGGGGCAGGAAGAAAGTGATAGAAGGTCTGGCAGATTGTCATGGACATATGTCATTGTCATAAACAGATCACTATTTTCTGGGGTTTAGACATACAATTGTACTAGGACTCTGAAAGAATGGGGGATTGATTAAGATGATCCACTCCTGTAGCCTGATGGATCTGACTAGTTTTCAGATAGAATTAGGAGGTTTTTCTGCTGATATGGTCAGTGCTTCTGTTGGTAACCTGGTCGACATCTGAAATAAGGAAATGAGTCAGGCAATTGATATGATTGCTCCAAAGTGCTCTCTCTCCAGTTTAAGAGCCTGGGGAGCCCCATGGTTTACTGAGGGGCTGCAGACAATGAAAAGACAAGGGAGACAATTGGAACAACAATAGAGAAAGATTCAGGATGAATCCAGCTACGCATGGCATGGCTAGCACTTATTTAAAGCCTATTCACCCGCCCACCCAACGGTTCGAAAGCCCTCAGGCAAGTAGATAAATGGGTACCCACTCCTAGGAGCGGGGGGCACCTTCCTCCAATGAACTGGAGTGCAGCAGCGGCGGCAGATGAGCGGTGGCAGCGGATGATGAGCGGCGATCCGGCGAACATGGCGGCGGTCCAGCAGCGAGCGACCCGGGCGGAGATTGGTCCAGGAGATGTGGCGACGTGACGACGTAACGACGTAGCGCAGTCAGAGCCAATAGGATGGAGACCAGCTGCTACAGCCATTGCACAGCCGCGCACCGTGAGGACCACTCCAGAAGGAGTCACTGCGAGAAAGAAGGATCTTCGCCGAGACACCGTCGCCTGGAAACAGAAAACAACCCACCATGGAAAAAGAACAACATAAGGAAGATCATAGCTGCTTAGGTGCCTGGTAGGCACTCACCCCTTTCCTTGCACTGTGGCCCTAGTTAGGTAATTTAAAGGTCTTTGTAAGCCGCTCCGAGCCCTCGGGAAGAAGCGGTATATAAGTTGAATGTGTATGTATTCTGTGGCAGCAATGGTGGCAAAGAAGTAACACTTCTTTGCCACCATTTCATCCACACAGTGTCAACCTGCAACTCTTCTGGGTGGTCAGGGGCTATTGGGTTTTAGACTACAGGATGTTCCAGGTTCAAAGAAATCTCAAGGAAACGATATGCAAGATCCAGGTTTCCTTACAAGGAGATTTTTAATAAAACATCAAACTTACAGAAAATGCAGGCTAATCTTCTGTCAGCTAGGCCTCGAGTGTATACACACTATGGGCAATTTCTCACTAGAGCTGCCTCGCAGCACAACCGCCATTTGCCCCAACACAAACATGTCAATTTCACTCCCGAAGCTCCAGGGGCTGCATTTTGACTCGCGGCTTCGCCCGATTTCCTCCACAGTTTCGTGATCCTGGTTTTTGAGGATCATGAAACTGCGGAGGAAATCGGGCGAAGCCACGGGTCAAATGCAACCCTGCAGCCTCGGGTGTGAAATTGACATGTTTGTGTTGGGGCAAACGGTGCTGAGAAATCGCCCACAGTGAAGCTTTCCAGAATCTGAGGCCACAAGCATAACTAAAACTAGGTGCCTTATACCCTAAATGCTGGTTACCAGTCAGTGGGCTTAAAAGTATGTAATCTTCAGGCTATCACTGCAAATAAATAAAACTCTTCTTCATTAGAATTAATAAAACTGTTTAAGATTCTTCCAGTGCAAATGAGGTTTATAATTTTCTGCTAAAGTTTGTGAAGAAAACAATACAAACAAAATGTCACACACAAACTTTAGGCTTAGTTCTAAGGCACATTTGTATCTCTATTGGGAATATGACACCTTTTGCTGCTGTTAGGGATGAGCATGAACCGGCTCACAAACTAAAGTTTGTAGTGAATTCTGGCCAGTTTGTAGTTCATGAACTGAAGTTCATGGCAGGTTAACGAGCACAAACTTTTCATGAACTTTTGAACAGTTCCTGGAGGTTGGTGCTGGTTTGTGACATTTCCAGACAAACTGCCTCCGCTGAAACAAAATGTTTTCCAAACTTCAAAGGGGGGGGGGATCTCCAGCCTTGGAAGCACTGTTGTCAGTTTCAAACTATTCATGTCAGTTTCAAGAAGAGGGTTCCCCCTCTTTGCCAATCTTCCTTTTTGTTCACTTCCCATTTTCTTGCACAGAGCTTTCAAAAATCCCACCCCCCGCTTGGATTTGTGACTCTGTGCTTTGGAATTAGTCCTTTTAATCTTGCAATGCCAGTGGCACTGGGTTCTACTCAGCATTCTGTGATTGCACTGGTACTGCTGGTCACTCTGGACATTGTACTGGTTCTGCAGGGCTTGCAAAAATGCCCCCTCCCACTTGGATTGTGATTGAGCTGTCATTGCCACATTGGCATTGGGTTCTTCTGGGCACTGGTACATTGCACTGGTTTTGCTGGGCTTGCAAAAATGCCCCCCTTCAGTTCGTACTGCCGAGATTCTCTGGTTTGACCTTAGTCCTGTTGGATTTGCACTGCCACAGTGTCACTGGAACTGCTGAGCACATTACACTGGTTCTGCTGGACTTGCAACAATCTCACCCCCCCCTTCAGCTTCTACTGCAGAAATTCTCTGGAACTTCGGTTCTGTTCTGCTGGGCTTCTATCGCCATTTCTTTCTTTTTTTCTTTTTTCTTTTTTTGCTGTTTTCTCCCTCCATTGGAAATTATGGAGGATGGGGCACCTTCTTTGGGGGACCATAACTCAGACCCCAGAATCTAATCCTCACCAAACGTGGAAGGCAGGTAGCAGAAAGTCTGTCAGAGATCCCCTGCAAATTTGGTTACTCTAGCACACCAGAGGCCATTCTACCATGTCACAATCCTCAGAAACTGAAACAGTTCGTTTAGCTCTTAAAAGTTTGTGGTTTGTGGGTATTTCTTTGTAAAAAGAGTAAAAATTATGACTGTAAAGCAGGCCATCAGGCAGCCCAGTCCTGTAGCCCATCTAATACAGCAGGAGCTGCAGTACATTCACTGCAAAGAACATAGCTAGCTGTCCAGTTCCTTCATCAATCAGAGTGAAGTGCTGAGCTGCCAGTCCCCGCCCCCCCCAGAAAAAACACAGATAAAGTGCCAACTAGGAAACCTGAGCTTTATCATATGACAGCTGAATATTTCCCTGTTATAAACTTCTGAAACTATAGGTTAGGGATTCGGAGTGCTAGATGAAGCATTGATCTGAGTCCAAACTGTAGTGGTCTGCACATTTTAAGGGGTGGCATCCTATGTATCAAAGCGGTCATGACATGAGAACTTATGATTAGGATCTCTTGCAGGTTTTTACGCTAATTATGACCCACCTATTCCTCACCTGTTTTCAGCCAAACCGTTCCTGCCCAAAAGATTGTGGAAACTCCCCTGTTCTCATTGCACCAGCCCTGAAGATTCTCTGTATCATCTACTCAGTTTACACAGCCTGTTGTTGTTGTTCAGTCGCACAGTCGAGTCCGACTCTTCGCGACCCCATGGACCAGATCCCGCCAGGTCCTCCTGTCTTCCGCTGTCCTCTGAAGTTTGCTCAGTTTCATGTTCGTTGCATCTATGACACTGTCTAACCGTCTCATCCTTTGCCGTCCCCGTCTTCTTTGACCCACACAGCCTGTACCCCTCAATATTTCTCTCTTTGGCTTTGTGTGTAATTTTGAATTTTATATACATGTCTACTAATATAGGATACACTTTGAGTTCTCACTTCTAATCTCAGTCTTCACATGTGCTTTAACTAGGTCTAAAACAAGTTTATTTTAAAACCACAAATAGAAATATAGTTACAGAGTGTTGTTTGCTTTGATATAAACTGAAACTAAGTTATCCACTATTCTACATATATAACCTCTAAACCAGATTAATATGTATCACAATGCATGTAAAGTGTGTGTGTGTATGTTAACTTGACACTCCACATTCTAGTCATAATATCAACAGAGATTTTCTGTTCCACTATTATGTATGTTTAACTCCACAACCAGGGTAGGGATGAGAGGAATGAGGATGGAAAACCGGGGCGGGGCGGGGGGGAGGATGACAGAGAGAAAGAGGGTTCAGAGAGAAAAAAATGAAGGCATACCAGATTGGTTGATGGGTTTATGGGTTTAGCAGCATCTTGTGTTACACCAATGTTTGCTTCATCCTCATAGTTAAAGAAGTATGCAGCCATAGAGAGCATTCTTTAAAAATCAGTGCTAAAAAGGGTGGTAAACAGCACTGTCTGGGAAGTTTGTCTGTTTGCTCTGCTTTGCCTTGCCTGCTCCCCTAGTGGCTGCAGTGCAGAACGGCACTAAAATGAACTGAAATGCATTTGCTGAATACAGGATGATTGCTGCTTCACTGAGTCCTCAAGCTGACTTAGGCCCTGGGAATTTTGTACCCCCAGTCCCTTCCTGTTGGTGGCCTTGCTGAAAGTACTTTAAGAACACACACACACAAACAGATTTACAGAGAAAGAGAATGAAAACAGTAATTATCTACTTATGTATGAAATATAATGTGTATTATTATATTCCTCATAAAGTTATGAGGTAAATATGAGGTGACTTCTGTGAGATAAACAAAGCTACAAAGCGCATAGGTCTCTGGAAAGCCTGCCAAGCAGTGGAGCTGATATCTAGTCACTGCTACTAAGGGAGTAGTTTTCTTTCTGTGGTTTTCAGTGAATCTCTGTCATCTTTTTTATGGGATGGATCAGTCAGTTAGTGATGATTAACCACTTTCATTGGGCTGTTCTTAGAACTTATGAGATGAGCACACAGAGGAGTTTGATTGGTTGAAGAAGTAAATGAAAAGCCTCAGGCTGGCTGAAGTAAAGGTTGGGTGGGGTGTAAAGATTCAGCAGTTGCTGATGAAGGCAACAAAAAGTTGACAAAGAACTGCCTGAAGAAAATATCTTGTAATCTGGAAGGAGATGGGGCTGGAGGAACAAGAGCTTGAGAGGCTCAGCTGAGGAAGAATCTTCCAGGTGCAATGCCTTGGTTTTCTTATTCCAGTGTCTTCAGTAAGCAGACCTGACCAAAGGCAAACGACTAGTGTGGCCAGCAAGTGAGAGGAAATGATGCACCACCACTGTAGGGAGAATGAGGCTTGGCCATCTGAGTGTAAAAATTAAAGTCCTGTGGCTGGGGAAATGAGTGGGGAGGAACAGCAGCAGAGACTGAGGAAGCTGACAGCTGTGGTGGAGCTGAGGATGCTCCAGAAACTGAGAAAGATGCTAAAACAAGGGAGGGTTGCAGAGGCCAACTAAGGGTGGGGGCAAGAGGCAGTGAGAAATCTGAGATACTGGCAGAGCCAGTTCCAGACTGGGAAGAGGTTAATAAAAGAGGAGAGATTGACCCGGAGGAGGTGCTGCCGGGCAGCAAGCAAACCCTGTCCCTGAAGAACCCAAGGAAGGACTGGCTCAATGAACTTGAAGGACACTGGGGGCAGGGTGGAACAGGAGAAGGAACTTCTCCCTTTGGGAAGGCACAGAGGCTTAGGAGTAGGCATGGGCTAAACACTGTATGCTATGTAGGTGTATATATGTAACGCAGATGGCCAGGGAGGATGAGGGCAGCCCTTACATAAAAGCCACTGGGAAAGGGAGTGGTTAATCTTTTCTCTCACTTAAATAATCCCTCTTCAATTACCTCAGTGGAAGAAAAATAGGGGTGCTGCAGCAGGTGGTTGTTAATTAGCTTTAATACCTGAAAGTTATCCTAATCATGATATCTTAATTGGCTTATAGGAAGCCATGATTTAAAACCTCTAAGCTCCCAATGAGCAAGGGAAAAATGTGCAGACCTGTTGAGTAATCTTATGAGCATTTTGAGTTACATTTAGAGATAGTTTTGTCTGGCTGATACATTTTTATGCAAACAGACCATATTGGTATGTGAGTCATGATCACTGAAGGATTTCTGCAGATTAAATTTTCCCAAATAAGAGGAGAAATAATAATACTGATGAAGAAACCTATCAGAATCTAAATGAGTAGGCTCAGGCCTCTTTATACTTTTTTTTCTGGGGATGAGAGGTTTTTCTCTAAAGTTTACACAAGGTATAGATAGGGACTCTGGGGCAAGTGATGCTCTGTCATCTTGGTGCTTGGGGGGGGGTCAACAGTGGGAGGGCTTCTAATGTCCTGGCCCCACTGGTGGACCTCCTGATGGCACTGGTATTTCTGGCCACTGTGTGATACAGAGTGTTGGACTGGATGGGCCTTTGGCCTGATCCAACATTGGCATCTCTTATGTTCTTATGTTCTTACATGTAGCAGAGGTGTCTCCTCCTAGGTATGCCAGAGGATGTAGTGATGGTCACAGGAATAAACAGCTTTAAAAGGGAATTAGATTCACGGAGGTTAAGTCTGTCAATAGCTACTAGCCATGATGACTGAGGGGAACCTCCACATTCAGAGGCACTAAGCCTTTGAATCCCAGAGCCAGGAGGCAACATCAGAGGAAGGCCTTGGCCTCTATGTTCTGTTCATTGGCTGTCCAGAGGAGCTGGTTGGCCGCTGTGTGAGACAGGATGCTGGACTAAATGGACCACTGGCCTGATCCAGCAGGGCTCTTCTTATGTACTTATGCAGAAATTCCGGTCTATGGGTGCTCCTGTTTCTCTGTCCTATCATTAGGCACCCAGCCACTGAAATTTGCTTTCTTGAAGGAGGGATCATCTGGAATTTATTTCCCCAAACCGTTGTTTATTTTGAAATGTTATATAAGTACTAATCTAAATCCACACACAAACAATTCCTTTAATGGCATTTTCACAAAAGTAAATCAAACTTTTATTATTTTGTTTTTGAAACTGTATGACAGTACCAGGTGAAGAGTATTGAAAAAAAGAGGTCTATGGTAGTTCAGGGTTTTGCTACAACTGCTATTTTTTCCCATATAGCACTCATGTTGATTTTGCTGTTTGGTGAAGCAGGAGTCGATATAGAGGGCATCACCATTTCTGTACCGTTTGCAGTGTCAGGCAAGCTGAAGCAACATGCCTCAAGTCCAGAAAAGTCCTATTCCTAGAGTCTTGGTTTTCATTCCTGAGATGTAAAACTTTTAGTATTCCTGCTTGAGCCTTACCTTATGTGTCAGGAGGAAAACAAGTGATTTGCAAAAATGCTGTTAAGGACTGCCTTCATGGCTCATTCTACTGGCAAAGTTGTTATCAAAATGTCATGAAATGGCTGGTGCACCCATACAGAGCCATGTCTAAAGGTTTTGCAAAGATCATGTGTCCAATCCTAAACAAAGTTAAGCCTTCTGTGTTCATTGAGGTCAATGGGTTTGCACTGTAAACTACCCCAAAATGGCTAGGGAGGTTAACAGAGATGCACTGGGAATGTAATGTGTAGAGATGAAGCATGCCTAGAATAAGATCAGATCAGGATGGAGGATAACTTTTGAGGCACCCTACTTTCCTTCCGGTGAACAGAGATAAGGTGGACAAAAGATAAGCAGGAGGTGTTCTGGTTGCTTACACATTCTTGAAGTTCTTGTCGAGTGTCATAAATATATATGGGACTTGGATCTCATGAACGATAGAAGTAAAAACCATTATAGAATTTGCATTTCTCAGTACAGTAAAGTTGTGTTGAATTCTAGTACCAAAGAGATTCTTCTGGTATTTCTACCTGAACTAATTTAATTAAATTGCTCCTTTATTTAAAAATGCAAAGAAAAAAAGTCCATCATGAGGCCTAGGGCGTGTGCAAAGAGGTGGTTTATATATTGCAAGAGCTGTTGGGAAGTGCACAGAACTGTGTTCTTTGTGTATACAGATAAATTGTACCCCTTGTGGATTTGTACCCCAGTGCTGGACTCCTTGACAGAGAGCTTCTACACAATGCTGTGCTATTTGAGGGCATGGCTCTTGGGGCTGGAAGGAAAGCAAAGGAAAACGTTCTTAGCTCCAGCATAAGAGGGAAAGAATGTGTTAGCTGCAGGCAGAGCCTTTGTGTGAAAACTCCAGCTGTGCCCAATCTAGCGAGGAGGAGGAGGAGCTTAGCACTGTCTTGAAAACAGCGGTGTTCAGCTCTTTACCCCCCCTTAGCTAGTCAACAGGGCTTTTAAAGAAACACCTCAGCCTCTGCTCAGTTGTGAGCCACAGCTTGACTGTTCGGAGGAAGGTGGAATTGCATGGCTGGGGCTGGGTGGGTGGCTGGGTGGGTGGGAGAGAGGGGATTGTCATCAGGTTGGCACCAATGTTCCCTCTAAGCTGTGGAGTCTTGTGAGCAAAAATTCTACTTTGTGAGCTACTGGCGTTAAAGTTGTGAGCGAGCCATTTGGCTACTGCATAAATTAGTTTGCTCTGGAGCCCTCCTTCCTGAGCTGAGACAAAAATGTGTGAGTCGGAGGCTAAAAAACTGTGAACTAGCTCACACTAACTCAGCTTAGAGGGAACACTGGTTGGCATTTCTGCACTGATGTGACAAGAAAGAAGGGGGTGAGAAGGGCATTTCCAGCAGTGAGTGGTACATGGAAGGGTGTGTGAATGCACAATCTCATTCACTGCTGCTTGTACAATGGGGTCAGTTTTTTCTTTTCCTTGGTTCTCTGTATGAAAGCACACTGGGTAACCTCAGTCCTACTGAAAATTGAATTTGTTCCTACCTGCATAGCTCCATCCAGTTTCTTGATCATGCAAGAATACTATGGAAATCCGGGTGAGTGGGATGAGATATTGGAACTGAATTCTATTATTTGTGCTCACTCTGACCTGGATAGACCAGGCTGGTCTGATCTAACCAGATCTCAGAAGCCAAGCAGCATCATCCCTGGTTAGTACTTAGAAGGGAGACGACCAAGGAAGTCTTGAGTTGTTACTCAGAGGCAGGTGATGGCAAACCATCTCTCTTGAAAACCCCATGAGGGATTGCCATAAATTGGGTGCAACTTTGTTTATTTACTTTCTCACAGGGACCCAAGGTGGATTTTACAGAGTTCACAGCAAACCAAACCAAACAAACAATTCTGCCCCAACACCATTTGTTACTCTTTCAGCCATAGAGGAGTCTGCATGAAGCACTCAGTGTAAAAAGAAATTATTTTCTTTTAACTAAACCGTTTTCTTTAAAATATTTTCTAACATTTCTCTAAATACTTTGAACAACAGACCGTGGGTTGGATCCTGCCAGCTTTCTTCTTCAGTCTCACCTAATCTCCCTCCTTGTTATATCCCCATTCCACCGGTGAGCGAGGTTGTTGTTTTTTGGCCTTGCAGGTCCATGATCCCCAGCACAGGCTTTTGGGTAGTCAAAAAGGGGTCCTTCTTCTCTCTTTTTTACTAGTTTGGATCCAATCATATGTGCAACATTTTCACACTTACCTGTACATCTAGGCATCAACGTTCCCTTTTGTTTGAAATACTCCCTATTAATTATAACTAGTATTAGTGGGTTTTGTCTTTGTAAAATTGTAAATAGACAGAACAGCCTTTTTTGCCTTTTGCAAGATGAAATAATGAAATTTGATTTGGGAGTTGAAAAGGGCTGGGGAGAAAACAGGCATATGGAAAGCTTATGAAGCAGATGCCTAGTAGGAGCAGAAAGAAGAGCTCAAATGAAATCAAGAAGGGGATGAAAATATGCAGTTTAATAACAAAAGTGAATGGAAAATGCAGAAGAGGTGAATGTAGAACTGGCCATTATTGTGGCTGACAGTTTTTTAAACTAATCTTTCTGTATGAGCCAAACACCAGCCCATCATAGATCATATGGTTAATGACACCAGATTCTATGTATTATTAGTAACACGACTGCTACTGTTTTTGAATACAAGACTGCTACTGTTTTTGAATACAAAGAAGTATGCAGGCAGTACTGTGCTTTAATGTTTTTTGACTGCCACATTCTAATGTACATAGTAAAAAAGTTGGTTGCAATAGTGGCCACCTTGCAATGAAAGAGATCAGGTACAATTCATTATTGACCTTCAAAGATTTAATCCCCTGTTGTTTGAAATACCAGCGGCAACTCTGTTGTTGTTGTTGTTCAGTCGCACAGTCGAGTCTGACTCTTTGCGACCCCATGGACCAGATCACACCAGGCCTTCCTGTCTTCCGCTGTCCTCTGAAGTTGGCTCAATTTCATGTTCGTTGCATCTATGACACTGTCTAACCATCTCATCCTTTGCCGTCCCCATCTTCTTTGACCTTCAATCTTTCCCAGCATCAGGGTCTTCTCCAGTGAGTGCTCCCTTCTCATTTGGTGGCCAAAGTATTTGAGCTTCAGTTTCATTATCTGGCCTTCCAGGGAACAGTCAGGGTTGATTACTTTTAGGATTGACTGATTTGATCTTCTTGCAGTCCAAGGGACTCTCAAGAGTCTTCTCCAGCACCATAGTTCAAAAGAACCTATTCTTCGGCGCTCGGCCTTCCTTATAGTCCAGCTCTCGCAGCCATACATGACTACTGGGAATACCATTGCTTTGACCATGTGGACTTTTGTTGGCAGGGTGACTCTGTAAGTGTACCCTTAATACACACATATTTTAGGAGAGCTGCTAGGGGATGGACACAAGAGGATACAGCCGAAGAACAACAATACTGGAAGGTGAAGGCAGTCTTTGGAAGTCAGTGTTGCTCTTCATAGCAAAGCAAGATGCTCTGGGTCAGGATTGTTTCTGAAACATGTTGAGTTATGAATTTCTCCAGTGCTACAGAAAGGGCTGATTCAGTTAGAAGAGACTAAAGCAGCTGTAGCTTGAGCTCAGCATCCCAAGGGTTTTGTTGCAACACAGCCATTTTTGGGTGTCTGTCCAAACACAATTAATACAAGTTGGGTATCATATGAAAAACTGCTAGAACCGCTGCTGTGAAATATAGCAACTCCATTAATTTAGAAACATAGAGATTTTCAAGTGCTTGTTTTGAATATGCCATATTACATTGGAAAATGCCTTGCTCATTGACCAGTTGTATGTACTGCTTCAGTTAAATGTGTAAAAAAGTATGTACTCATAAATCTGCATTAAGCCAGGCTGATCAGCTTTCAATGCAATAAAAATATGGATCATAAATCTGTAGAATACATACTTTGCTTAAGATTTTCCTAAAAAATCCAATTTATGTTTTTTGAAGACTGAACAAATATGCATGTTAGCAGATAAATTCATTATAGAATATTTCTTTGTTTTAAAGCAGTGATTGCCAAGAAACAATAAATACTTCTGGATGTATTATGCAGTTAGGATGAACAATTTATTGTATATACAGTTAAGCAACTGTGTTGTTTTAAAGAAATGGATATGATAATCAAAGTAGATTTAGCATGAAAAGTACAACAAAGACCCCAGACAAGAACAGAAGTTAGTTGTTGACTTAAAATAGCACAGAACTTGAAATAACAGACAGCAGGTTGCATTATTAACTAGGACAGTAAAAAACTGTACAATACAAGCAACAAATTACAATAAATCATGATAAATGAGGCAGTCTTTCATTTGCAACCGAAAGGACAAAAAAAGAGGATTTTAAAATCTCATAAATCCACCGTATCTTTTTTCCATCTCTGGAACTTCTTTGGAATAACTTTCTCCATCTTCATCTGAAGGAAGAAGAGAATTGGCAAAGCGCTTAAGAAATCCACCATAGCGTTTCTGGTAGTCCAGCCACCACTCTGGCCTTCCCACTCTTCTCATGAAGCCACCATACCTCTTTTGCAGCTCTTTGGCATCATCTTCCAGTTCTGGGCTATGCCTTATGTTTCTCATGAAGCCACCATATCTTTTGGCAATGTCACCATCATTATCATTCATGTCCCGGTAATGCCCAACATCAGCAATTTCCCCTGTTCCAAGAAGCTCTTTCAGCAGATCAGAGGAATTAGCCAAAGCATCATCATCCGAGTCCTTCTTCATAAACCCTCCATACCTCTTAGTAAGGATTTCTCCTCCATTTGGTTCCTCCTCTGGTTCTATACGATAGAGCTCATCCATCTTCTTCATAAAGCCACCATACCTTTTCATGAACCCACCGTATTTTTTTGCTAGCAAATGACTCTCATCCTGCTCTTTTGGGTTGTCCCCTAGAGCACCATTTCCTTCCTGGGAATGATCCAGTTTAGTTAGTTGTAGGAGCTCCTTGCAGGTTTCCCAGGCATTGGCAGAAGGCAGCTTTCCTTCACATTCTAGTGTACACACCTGAAAAATAGTTTTATTTTTTAAAAGTATGTTTAAATATATATATTTGAGATGTATCCTTGTTTTGCTAAAATATAGGGATATATAAAGTCCCAAATGCAGAATATAAACCAAGTATTAAGGGTAATAGTCATGGTTATGGACTTTGAAGCTCTGTAGCCTTCTTTGATATACCATTCTGGTATGGAACAGTATTAATGTGATTTGGTACAGCACTATATAATCTAATCTGTTTTGGTTAAATCTGGGGAAATTTTCCATTAATGCAAATAGAGTAACCATGCTTCTTGGAATATTAATATATATTTATTTTAATGAAATGCATTATAAGACACAGAGCCAGAGCTAACATGCCAATATATCACACTATTGAAATACTATTAAAAGTCATCGAGTTTCTACATTTCACATGTCTCTGTAAAACTTAAGGCAAACTTCTGTTTCTGGTCCTGTGTTCTACGTAGCCACATGTCAGAGAACAGAGATCAGCTGTCAGTCTCTGCCTCGTGGGCATATACTCACACAATAACAATCACATATTTACTGTTACATAACATCTGAAGTAATGCATTGTGCTGTAGCCCCAGTGGAAAATTCCCAAAATCTATTACGTTAGAAGAGAAATAGAAACTGTTGAGCACGTACTCTTACACTGTGAATTGTTAAATGACATTCGAGTGGAATTTATAGAAGCCCCCCTTAGGTTGGTAGCAGGCCAACCGGATGGAAACAAGGTACACTATCTCCTTGCTTCACGAGACCTGGAGATCATTGAACTGACTGCTAAGTTTCTTCATGGCTTTATAAAATGGAAGAATGATCCTGATCATATTATTGATTCTTAAATTATAATTAAAAAAACCCAAAAAAAAACCCCTTAAAAACCCCCTTAAGTTTAAAAGTTTAGAATTCAATTTATTTTACGATTCAGCTATCTTCTGTATGGTCAAATCTATCTTGTGACAACTTGAGGTATGTTATAGGCCTGACATATCCTTGGAATGGTTTACCACTGGATTGTATTAATACTGGTTGCTTTTTCTAATATTGTATGCCAATAAAAGGTATTTGACTTTGACTTTGAAAATCTATTACATTTTCCCCAGGCCTTTCAGTTTGAACAGTATGTAACCAAACTCATTTTCATTTCCCTTTAGAGATTTCTGTAATAAGCCAAACCTGTACACAGGTGGCAACATTCAGTTCATTTATTTAAAACATTTTAATGCTAGCTTTCCACATAACTTAGGGTCCTCAAGGGAAAGAACAGTCAAACACACAAATACACAAATTAAAATACATAAATGGGAAGGAGGGTCAGTGAGAGAATGCCAACAGAACAGAAAATTCTTTATCCGCTTCTGAACAACAATAGAAGAAAAAAAGACAAATCTGCCTGGGGAGAGAATTCCATAATTTTGATGTCCTAACTAAGAAGGACCTTTTGGGTTGCTATCTAATCTCAGTCATGAGGGACTCTGAAGATGACCTTAGTGGTCAGATAGGTTCATATGGAAGGAGATAGTCTTTAAAGTATGCTGGTCTCAAGCTGTATAATGATGTAAAAGCCAATACCAGCACCATGATTTGGGTCCTGTGGAAAATTGGGAACCAGTGTTGTGGAACACTAGTGGGCCCACTCTAGTCTGCATTCTGGCTGCAGCATTCTGAACCAATTACAGCTTCCAGACACTCTTCAATGACAGCCCTACACAGAGTAGTCTAACGTAGAAGTCTAATGTTAACAGGGCATATACCTCAGTGGAAAGATCTTTTTTTGTCCAGGAAAGGCCACAGCTGGCTTACTAGCCAAAGCTGGTGAAAGGAACTCCTGGCCATTGCTACCACCTGCTTATCCAACAGGAGGCTCAGGACCAGGAGCACCTCCAGACTACAAATCTGATCTTTTGGGGGGGCGCACAACCCCATTCACAACAGGAGACACTTCAACTCCTGCATAAGTTCTTCCACCTACCAGTAGCACCTCCATCTTGCCAGAATTAAGTTTCAGCTTACCAGCTGTCATCTATCACTAAACCCCTTCCAGGCACTAATTCACAGTTTACACAGCCTCCCTGGGGTCCTCTAGAAGTGAGAGGTAGAGCTAAGTATGATCTGCATATTGGTCACAACCCTACCTAAATCTCTGGGACCGATTTCACACAAGAGCTGTGCCGCGGTCGCGCCTCCCTTTGCCCCGCTTCTATTGGTCAATTTCCCACTCGAAGCCGCGCGGCCGCATTTTGACCCGTGGCTTCGTCCAATGTTCCCTGCAGTTTCGTGATCCTGTTTTTTGAGGATCACAAAACCATGGGGAAAATCGGTGAAGCCACGCGTCAAAATGCGGTTGCACGGCTTCGAGTGGGAAATTGACTAATAGAAGCGGGGCAAAGGGAGGTGCGACCGCGGCGCAGCTCTTATGTGAAATCGGTCTAGATGACTTTTCCCAGTGGCTTCATGTTAAAAATCATAGGGGACAAGATGTAACCTTTCAGGACCAGTAGGCGAGAAGCAAAGGGGCCAAGCAGCAGTCCCCCATCACCATATTCCGAAACCTACCTTCCAGGTAGGACTGAAACTACCACAAAACAGTTTTTCCTCATTTCAACCCAGAAAGGCAATCCAAAAGGATTCCATGTTTGATGGTATCAAAAGCCACCAACAGGTCCAACAGACTCAACAGGGTCACACTCATCCCATCCATCTACTGGTGCAGGTCATGCACTAGGCCGGGTGACCAAGACCAAGACCAGACTGAAAGCAATTCAATCAATCTGGTTCATCCAGTTAAACAACTGTGATTACACACATGTAGCAGTAGCAACTATCTTTTCAAAGGACAGTATACATTTTTGCCAAAGGAGGACAGCATAGTCCTGTTAAAAATAATTTGCATTTCTAAAACCATTTGTTTTAGATTTTTTATTTAGCACATCTGACTTGTTATGTTTGGTATACCTTATTATTTCAGAAACTCTACCTATATTCTTAAAAATGTAGTTTGAATGCTAGTGATTTCTAAAAAGTTAGATTTGCATATGAATATAATGTAGTGCATCACTTGTTACTGCTTCCCACGTGCCAATCACTAGAGCCTTCCCTTCAAATACATGCTTAATCCACTTCAATGTCATGCCTACCATGACATTCAACATGGCTAATAAATTAGGGATGCTATGCTACATTCAAAATGATGCTTTGTCTTATTGCCAGGGCTTAATTTCTACATTTAGCGCTTGGGGCTTGTACATATTTCCTGCCATTGGATCAGAACAGAGGATTGATGCTTACAATTATATTTACTGGTTTTGGAAATAGAGATGGGGTGAAATCTATGTGGATGAGAGACCCAGATTCAGGCTCTATATCATTGCAAAGAGATAATTGTTGTCAGTGTTGCCTACATCAACATTCTGTTGAATGGCTATGCAACATGCAGCAGTGGGAAGCTTATTCAACATTCATGTTCAGTCTATAAATGTCTAGTTTCATCATGTATTCATGATATATAAATGTGGTCTTTGTCCAGATAATAAAATTACAGAAAAATGTGGTGACCAGTGTGTGTGTGTGTTTTACGGATGATGTTCAGGCTTCATATTTCAATAGGACTCACTCTTTTCCCTCTTCCCCAATAACTCAATACACATATCCTCCAGAGTGATCTTAACATTAACCAGACCGTACAGGAATAGCTGGGTTTTGAAATCTTTGTGAGAATGAAAATGGAATTTATAACCAACTCCTGGGGATACTTCCATGAGTCAGATTTTTTTAAATTAAAAAATTAACAGAAGTATGTGTGTGTTTGCAGTTCAGCTAGTTTTCATGTTTTAGAAAACATCCTGCATATTTCATTCCAATTGTTTAACTTTCATGATCATGAGCCAGGAGAAAAAGGGGGCATATAAATAATTTTTAAAGCTATTCTCTTATATTACTTTGAGTTAACAATGCACAGTGGTAGTGCATGGAGTGTCAATCCAGTGTCTGAAGAGACGGAATATGTCTAACAATTTTATTCTGACTTCTTGCAGGGAAACGCTTAGAAGGAGCTTCGATTCTGGCAGGATAAGATCATTATATTCCACACAAGTGAAGCTTGGTAGGGAATTAGTTCCAATCTGTTATTTATTAAACAATATAAATAATTTTTAGTTTGATTCAGTACCTTTTTTTACCAATGTCTCATGTGCATCTCCAGTCTAAATAGCTCTGCTGAAGGAATAATTTATGTCCCCTGGGGTACGAATGGTTAGAGAAGAATGGGGCTGACCTACTGACTTGCTGAGCTCTCTGGCCTCTTATTACGCAAAATACTTAAGTGGGTGTCCATAAACTTAATATATTATGTGATCTTCCTGATGCCAGCAATACTGATGAATATGGTTACTTAATTATGTATACAAAAGCTTGCTTCTGCTTTCTATGTGGCAACATGTCAATATGTGCAGGGCATAAGCAAGAACTTGTTTCTCCCATCATTAGCATTCTTAAAACCTATGAAGAAAAATGTGCTTCAGAACTGGGCATTTGTTTCCCTTCTGCAGTTTATCTTGACAAGCACTTTACAAGTATTATTTAAGACAAAATCTTCCTGCATTGAAATCTATATTTATATGGGCAAGAACCAAGATGGTCAGCATTTTGTAGTCCATAGATTCCCTTTAGGAGACATTTTCCATTACATCTTTATTTGCTAAAAGGGCTAAAGCACAGAGAATTTAGCATAGAGAATGCCCCCTTCCCCCAGTCTCTGCCATGACTAAAAAAGTCTTGCATGCTTGAATATCTGGATTAAAGCAGATGTCATAACATTGGCTGCAATCCATTTACAGTTACTATTGATGTCATCAGGCTCTGTATATAATTTCCATAGGTTTGTATGTGAATGAACATGCTTAAACATATGAAACCATCTGAAAGTAATGCATTTTGAGGCACTTCCCTTGACTCTTAATCTCTAATGTCTCTTGTACTGTTATCTTGCCTGACTTGCTTTTTTCTTCTGTATTGCTCTCAAGAAAGGAAGAAAACGAACTAATAGAACAGTAAGAAAAAAGGACCTGTTTATCAACAATTATAGTTTCAGAATGGTGACTACCTAAAATAAATGACTATATTTTCAAACACTTTGGTCTCTTTGATTTCAATGAAAGATGTAAACCTAGAGGTATACATCCTTAGTTTTAGGACTGGTATTTTGGGAAGAACTATGTCTCAATGATAGAGCACATGTGTTATATACAGAAGGTCTCAAGTTGAAGATGAGCATATTCAGTCCAAGGATCTCAGAAAGCAGGCAGTGAAAGAATTTATTTGCCTGGGAAGATATTACTTGAGCTAGATGGATTAATAGTCTGATTCTGTATGGTCATATTTTAATCTATGAATAGTTTTGACATAATATTCTAGAAAGAAAGGTTTTCTAAACCAATTCCATTTATATATGAGATGCCTGTTCTAATGACAATATAAACGTTATGGCAAAAATATATGATCTGTTAATGGCTTAAAATGGAAGAAATGGAATGTGGACTATTTAGTTCTCACTTAATCCTACAATTCTATAGATAGAATTACAGCTAAAATTATGACTTGGCCATACTTTTTTGTATGTGAAAGAGATCATTTAAGAATATTTTGGATTTTTCACTTGGCTATTAGATTAACACTAGAATCAATGAGACGGGAGTAACTCTGCATCACACTGTAACCTACATAATGCTTTTAAGGAGCACTATCAGTCTGGCTTGCTTGAAGAACAGCATTGTGAATCTTCAAGCTAGACTTTTCAGCAAGCAATAACAGGGACATTGCATTTATTTTGTACCTCTCATTCACTCTAATTGTCATGTTTTTCCACATTAGCTATGGCTACATAATTGGGCTGATTTATCTATGTGATCAGCATATGTGAAGATAAAAAGCAACTGAAATAACGTCTCTTTGACATCACAGCAGTGCTCTTGAACCAGGAAGAACTGGAACACCTCTGTTTTCTTTGTCATACATAGACTGAAAGATCACACACAGAGTGAAGGAGCAAACTTTCTTTCACTGGGTTCCTAAAGTGATATTTCTCTTTTTCCCTTCACAAATACAGTATTGTATCACCATAGTCTTCAGTAATCCAGTAAACAATTGGTACAGGTAGTTTTGGGCAAAAAACCCCTAAATGTTTGCGTTATAATGATCTGTCTAAGGCTCTCTTGTACTCCTTGCAAAAGGATCTAAGACCAAGTGCAGTGGCAGAAGTACGGGTGCTTTCACACGTGCTAAATAATGCAGTTTCAATCCACTTCAGCAACCATTTGCAAGTGAATTTTGCCATTTCATACAGTAAAATCTAGTTGCAAAGTGCATTAAAAGTGGATTGAAAGTGCATTATTTAGAGCGTGTGAAATCACTGTATGTTTATCTCTTTTGTTGTCCTGTAGGGGACAATTGCCTTATAAAACCGTAGTCTGGACAGGAACAAATAAACAAGAAACTCTGAGAAGTTTTCTTAGGATTTTTTTTTGTTTTTTTATTCCTTTGAATGGCATCTCCCCACTGCCATATTATAAACTGCTTCTGAAACTCATCTTAATTTCAAAAGCCACTGGTCACATGGCATGGAAGTCTGGTCTTCAAGCTACAGAAAATTCTGTCTTATTGTCCTAATGAGAACTACACAGTGATACCTAAACCTAAATGCATCCTTAAGGCCATTAATTGCTGGATCCTTTGGACTTATGTTTTCCTTCTAACTTTGAGTGTCTTCTCTTGATAATCCTTGGCCTCACTAGGTCAAAACAAAAGATTGCATCATATTATGACTTCCTGCAGATCAAAATGGACCTCTCGAGAAAGGCATTGCAAAAGCCCAAGAAATGGTAGTTCTGCCACCATGGTGTTGTGAAATAAGCATGGCTTCAGTGTATGCTCAAATCTCATGGAGGCTATCATGCAGTTTAGGATCACGGCTTGGAGATTAGTTTGCAAGGCAACTCTGCCAGGCAGGAGCTAGTGAGAAACATAAGAACTCTCCATGGTCCTGAGATGGCTGGCATGCTTTTAGGGGTATGTTTGTGTATTTAAAGTGCTGTCAACTTGCAGCCGATTTACGGCAATCCCAGCAAGAGGCTTTCAAGGCAAGTGAGAAGAAGAGGTGGTTTGCCATTGCTTTTCACTAGAGTCTAACTTGGTGGATTCCCTTCCATGTACCAACCCTGTTTAGCTTCTGAGATCTGACGAGATTGGGCTGTACCATGCCACCTTCCCTCCTATGCCTTTAGGTACATGGATGTATTTGTTTTGCATCTGTTAAGGAAGCTAGAAAGGTCATCTGAATATCTGATATACCATCATGCTAAAATCAGTTCTCATACATTCTTCTAGCAGTGGATGGGAAAATATACACTGTTTCGTAGGGTATATACAAAAATGTGTTTCTGTTCTGGAAATTCAGAATAGCTACGCTGATGCTGTACGCAGTGACAGATTAGAATCACCATATAATATATAACTGTTTTGGGGAAATACATTCAGTTATTCTTTATTGAACCTGGCTATGATTATATATAAGTGAATTAACAGTCACCAATCTGTGTTAGTGACCTATGTGAGGCTAAGTTTTGCTATTTGTCTGTGGTTTCCATATGCTTTATAGCTTTTTGTGGTTGTTAAAGTGTGATTTGCCCACTGGATTTCCTAACAGGGTAGCAATTGAGAGGGGGCTGTCTTAAAAGACAAAGAGTTAATTCTGCTTACCAGAGGTTTGATGTTGGCATGGAATGCCAGTCGGGTACAGAATGTACAGTCTTTGCTGCAATCTGCCTGAACTGTAAGGATGAGGCATGTGCTAAGAGCCAAGAGCATGAAATAAAATCTCAGAAGCAGTGTCATGGTCTGCAAAAAGAAGAAGTAAGACTTTAGCCCAACAGCTTCCACCTATTTTCCTGTTGCATGCATATATCTCATCCCAAATATTCTGTTTTCTTATCACTGAACATGTTCATAGATAAAAGGAAATCAAGGGGAAGGAGTTCTAAACACATTTCCTTGCAAGCAAGTCCCATTGGTTTTAATTTCACATGCATCAGAGTAAGGACAGTCAAGGCTTAAATGTGTGTTATATGTTAAATAAAAAGGTCAAGCCATGAAATGCCATTGTAACTCATTCATTTCTCCCTTTATAGCATGGGAGACTACAACCCTGTGCTGGCTGATGCAAGGAAAGGTGCGAGATCCTGGAATGTAACACTGAATGAAGACAAAAGTTTCAAAGTGGATGGAATAAAATGTCTCTTTCCTTTCATTTTTCACTGAAGATTAATGTAATGACTACCATTCCTTGATTCAGCCTTTTTAATTTCTAATGCTACTGAGAAAGTCATTTTAGCAATATCTTACCAAATAACATAGCTTGGATGGCTGGAAAAAATTTACCCATTAACTTTTACCCCACCCCATAGTTAAAGCACAAAAGTGCTGTTAGTTTTGGTTGATTTAAGAGGTCCCTTTTGCCTCCACTTTTCCTTAGAACAAAAGCATATGGTGAATACTGTCACTCCTTATCTTCTAAGGCTGTCAACACACAGAGAGAGAAAGCCAGGGAGCCTAATTCCAAAGAGAAAGGGAATATGTCCACTGATAGCCAGGAACGAAGTGCCTCAAAGAGGTTTCTTCCAAGTTCATCACTAAGGTTACACTGATATATCATTAAAGGAACCCAGCAAAATATAAATCCATTCTCAGAGAAGCAGAACACCTAGTTAACAGAAAGTGAAACTTACAGATGAAATGGACAGTACTCAGAAAAGAAAAATTATTAAAAACCCCCCCCCCAAGTTCCTTATCTTTACACCCCCACAACCCCCCCCCCCTTCCTTACATTTATTTCTCCGGGCACGGATGCTCTTCTGAAGGGGGAAGGGGCTCTGTTGAAGTCTCTTGCTTGGAGCAGTTTCTAGATACTGGGAGAAGAGCTAAGCACCGGTTGCCTCTTGAGGAGCTGTCGAATGAAAGAAACAAGCAACAGAAAATGCTGGGGGGGGGGTAGTCATGAGATGCCGTTAGGGAGGATTGTCAGCCGCGGCAAATCTTACAGGGAAGACGCAAGGTCGGAGCTGGAGTTGCTGCCTCCCCTTTCTCTCCCAGGGCTGGTCTCCTTTGCGGGCTCGGAAGCTCTTCACCGAAGTCAGGACCCAGGGAAGTGGAGAGCGCCACTTTATAATTAGTCAAAAAAGAGAAACGCGGCGCATTCCCCAATCGCTTCCAGGCTCCATCTGACGCAGGACCGACGGCATCCAGTAGGAGCTTCCAAGACTGGCGGCGGCGGCGGCGGCGGCCGGGGGGGGGGGACTTTGCACGCGCGTGCCAGAGGCCAGTGGAGGACTCACGATTCTCTTGTTCCCCTGAGTGTGTGTGGGAAGATGTGCTCCACCCCTCACCCCACTCGCCTCCCTCTCAGGGAGTCATGTCATCGCATGGCAGGAGGGGTGAAGGGCTCCCTCCAAGCTTGCACAGGGAGAAGGGGATGTTGGGGTCACTTCTGCTTCGGGGAGTGAAATGTTTGGGACTCCCTCCTTTGACCTCGCAGGTTCTGATGCTGAACCCACCACAGGAGGATGCTGAGCATTAATTGCCACCGCAGGATCTGCTTAGGGAATGCAAAGAAAAAACCTCTTGGTTCTCAGTTTGCCAACAAGTCCTGTGCATTCTCTGAGGCACAGTGGCAGAGGGCAGCCACGTAGGAGGAGGCAATGGCTGTGGCTTGCATCTGCGGATGCTTCATGCTGCTGCTGCCTGGTCAAAAGTGAGCTCTAGAGGTGTGTCCGCTGGAACTTAGGTTTGGGGCCACATGGGAGAAGGCACACCATGACCACACCCAGGCACTTGAAGACTCCATCCAAGGCGGACTGCAGAACCTGGAGTCTGCTTGAGATCTATCAGGTGTGGCACATTCTCTGCCTCTGCTACCCAGGTAACAGGGAAGGAGGGCACTTGGAGTGGCAACCTGCCTTGAGATGGCCTGCTGTAAAGTCAAATATTTTAAGCAGCTCCTGGTGTAATAGGAATCCAGGACCAGAGCTTTCTAAAGGTAACAGAGAGGAAATTAATCAGTCCCTTGACATTCATTCTGTATAGCCAGGTCTCAATGTTGTGTGACAGCTGCTGCTGCTGCTGCTGCTACCTGTGCAGGCAGGCATCCCCTTCCCACAAAAAGAAAGCAGGAGAAAAATATTACTAAAAGAACACAGATATGCTTTCAAACTGAGGGCTTTTATTCTACATATCCAACACCCACATGCAAATTCCAAGCCAGAGACTAATCCCAATAACAAAGGTTGTGGGACAACTTGTAGCATTTGGTGCATGTGTGTATATGTGTGTGTGCACACACGCTTGCATATAAATAAAACAGGATTTGTCCTGATTTAATACTATAATTTGAAACTAGCCATGGAGGAAATTTCCATTTGGACAAGCCCACAGCTGACTATTGTATAGAATAGATTGTGTCTAATATGCTCTCTCGTAGTCTGATGTGTCCTTGTTTCCTTCTCAGTTCTAGCAAAACATGCTTTTGTCATGGGGATGTTTTATGCTGGATCTCAGACTATTATATACCAGATAGAATGGCAGGCATGGACATCTCTCTTGTATATTTGTTTGGGCCACTTGGCACATGTAGGCTGACTCCTAAGATATAGACAGTAAGTGTGTATCTGGAGGAGGAGGAGGGCCAATTACCAATGTGGTACAGCTGCCAATAATAAAATCTCAGAAAATTAAGAGATTTCATGACATGCAGAAGTACCAGGTTCAATCCCCATCATCTCCACCTAAAAGGATTAGTTAGCAAGTGATGTGAATGATCTCTTTATCTGAGACACTGGAGAGCTGCTTCCAGTCAGAGCAGACAATCCTGACCTTGATAGATTCAGTATAAGGCAGCTTCATGGGTTTGATGCACTTCTGAGCCTACTCGTAGAGATCCAGAATGCTTGACATTAGGGGCTGCTGAAGAAGAGGCATTAGGCAGACAGTTGGTCTATTTTGAAAAATGTGGTGAGAAACCAACAGTGTGTTAAAAAATTAATTGCACAAGCAGGAGCCAGAATGTGTCTGACAGTCATGCAGTCCAACTTCCTGTTTTAAACCAGAATGTTCTGCAAATAATCCCTCTCCAGATTAATACACATAATCCAGATTGCTGTCTACCACAAGCAGAAAGTGGGAGTGAGCAAGATGCACCAAGATAAGCATGTTTTCAGGCAAGGAAGAGTTTACTGTAATTAACCAATCAGAACATGACTTTTGTGCTCATTAGTCAGTGAAATATTTTCTTGTTACTTACATAGACACTGTGGCTTTGAACAGCTCCCAGGAGCACCTGCAGACATTGGCGTACTTAGCCTATTGGGCACCCAGGGCGGGTAATTTTTTAACATCCTCCTCCTCTCTCTCTCTCTCTTTTTTGCTGTCAAGTCACAGCTGAGATTATGATCCTATAGAGTTTTCAAGGCAAGAGACTTTTTGGGGTGGTTTGCCATGGCCTGACTGCCTCCGCGTCGGCCCTGCTTAGCTTCTGAGATCTGACAAGATCAGGCTAGGCTGGGGCTATCCAGGTCAGGGCCCTTCCTCTATAGGACAAAATTATTTTCAGTAATAATCATGAAATAAAACAAATAATAATAATGGTCAGAAAAGAAACAGACAGTGAAAAAATTATTTAATTTAACATTGTATATATTAAACATGCCAGTTTTAAAAAAATCGAATTCCTACATGGTATTCCATCACGAGAGCCAGCATGGTATATTTATTTATTGTTGTGATTTTTAAAAAAAATCCTGCCAGTTTGGTGTAGTGGTTAAGTGCGCGGACTCTAATCTGGGAGAACCGGGTTTGATTCCCCACTCCTCCACTTGCACCTGCTGATGTGACCTTGGGTCAGTCACAAGGTCTGGTGCAGCTGAATTAAAAAAGAGCAGTTTGTGTCAGAGTTCTCTCAGCCCCACCCACCTCACAGGGTGTCTGTTGTGGGGAGGGGAAGGGAAAGGGGTTTGTAAGCCGCTCTGAGACTCCAAGTGAAGGGCGGGGTATAAATCCAATCTCTTCTCTTCTTCTCTTCTACCCCATGTCATGGTTAAAGTGTCAGACTAGGATCTGGGGAATCCAGGTTCGAATTCCAACTCGTGCCATGGAAAGCTTGCAGGGTGGCCTTGGGCCAGTCACATTACTTTCAGCCTATCCCTGACCTGGATAGCCACAGGATATCCTTATTTTGTCAGATCTCAGAAGCTAAGCAGGGTGAAGAAGCAGGCAGACAATGGCAAACCACCTCCAAATGTATTTTTGCCTTAAAAACCCTACAGATGGAACACAACTCTATACTGCATGTTATATCCTACACTTCCTATACAAATAAGCAATACAGACACAATGCAATTTCATATTGGCAAATACATAGATGAATACTGTAGTTCTCAAGACATACCAGAGCGAATTAAATGTTTCTGAAATGTGATAAGCATAAATGTAGTTTTTCAGATTTTTTTATGTTACACAAAATTACTGGAATATTGTTATTATTAAGGTATTTGACTTTTTTGTAACTTGTTTTACGATACAATAAAAATTACTTTTTAAAAAACCCTACAGGTTTGCCATAAGTCATCTGTGACTTGACAGCAAAAAAAAGTTTCCATCACACCACTCATGTGCTGAGCAGGCACTTGGGAGGGCTTCTGTTCTCCATTTTGAAGCCCAAGAGTTGACCATCCCAAACATCTACGAGGCATTTTTGAGAACTAGGAGTCTGTCTTTGTACTACTTTTTATTGACTAACACTAGCCAAAATATCACAAAATAGTGATTGTATGCTTCAGCAGACTGGATGTTAAGAAACATACTATCTCCCAAATAAGGTGCCCCATTCTCCATTGTTTCCAAAGGATTAAAGTCAAACCAGAGAATCTCTGCAGTGGATACTGAAGGTGGAGGGGGGGCATTTTGCAAGCCCAGCAGAACCAGTGCAATGTACAAAGTACCCAGCAGTATCAGTGCAATCACAGGGTGCCCAGCAGAACCCACTGCCATTGTTGCAATGCCAGCTCAACAGGACTGATGTCAAGCACTGAATTACAGTCCGAGCATGGTGTGTGTCTGTGTGTGGCAGGGGTTGGAAGCCCAACAGAACCAGTGGAATGTACAGTGCCCAGCACATCCAGTGCCACTGGAGAATTGCCAGCTGATGTCAAGCACAGAATTACAATTCAAGTAAGCGGAGGATGGGGAGTAGAAGCCCAGCAGAACCAGTGCGATGTATAGTGCCCAACAAACCCAGTGCCTTCTGTGTATAATATTAGCAACGGTTTGCTACTATACTACTTTTAAATACATTCTGTCACCAAGCAGGATAGGGATGAAAAGCTCTTGAGACCAAGAATTGAAAATGGGGGGGGGGGGGAACCACACAGAAATGAATGAGAAAAGTGTGGAAAGGAAAAAGAAACATTATGAGAGGGAACATTTTTAAAAATCTTGCTACAACACCCTGCTTTGCAACATCTGGCTGAGCTGGGTGCAAGGAAAGGAAGAGAAAAAGGCTAGACTATTGGACAAAATGATCTGCAGGCTGGCAATTACTGTAGCAGCTACCAGTGTGCTGGCTCTATTGTTGTTAAGCGAGTTTGCTTCAGTCTCAGAGCAAGGGACGTTTAGCTGATCTAGAGTGTGGTTGTTGTTGTTGTTTGCTGTGCTCAAACTTCCCTGCACCCCTATTGGCTGCAGCCAGAGCTGCATTTTAAAATGAAAGACGTTTGGTGGATGCAGCATGATGCTGGCTTCAAGGCCACCCCCCCAAAGGCCTTCTTCAAGCTGAGCCCAGGGTGGATGGTACCCCTCACCCCATTCTTAGTACTCCACTGCCTGCAGAAGCTCTCAAAGAGACAACCTCAAAAACAAAACAAAACAAAAAAAACCCTTGCCAAGTATAAAGCACTCAAAGGTAGGAGGAGGATGAACAGGAAATCATTTCACACATTACACATCAACAAACCCACAGCTAAATTCAACAGTGAGCCATAGCTGAAGTCCCCGGTCTATATGACACATTTGTATGGCAGAGACAAGAAACGGATATATTTACTTCTGACACTTTTAGTTGTATATCTACAAATGTAATGTGTGAAAAGGGCCTCTGAG